TGAGCAGTACTTTCATGTGGTACTGTTTATTATGCTGTACAAGGTGGTTCTAACTTTTCATTCTGTGGATAAAACCATTAAGTGTGACCATTCAAGTGAAAGCCATTGAGCAGTACTTCCATGTGATACTGTTAAGCTTATCGTTCAAGGTGGCGCTAACTTTTGACTCAGTGTAACCATTTAACACTGCTTACTTTCTGTTACCTCTCCAGGGCGAGTTGACACCCTTTAACCTTCCAATGTACTTAGCACACAAGAAGCCTCTTCTAATCGTGTTCCGAGCTGATAGCGAAGAGTCTGTCATTACTCCGGTCATGACGAAACTAGCGCGGAACAAAACTTTTCCTTCTGTGTTCCTTTGTTGGATGCCCGTGTGAGTAGAACTCTTAGAGATTTTCTACGAAGCAACATGTTTGTTTTATTTGTTGAAGATTGGCGTTTTCAAGTTTTCCTTTCCATTGTTCTTGCAGTTTTTCTAACAACGACGTGAACGCCGAGATACTAAAATCTTACACTGGAAACAGGAATTCTCTTCCCGCATTGGTTCTTGTAAACCACGACAAGGTTGGTTCAATATTGATGTCGTTGTGCAGTCCTACGATGTTGTTGTTACTTGTGCAAATAGCACTGATTATTTCTTCCCCGTCCAAGGGCTGGCTTAAACGGTACAATTTTGTTGCATGCGACAAGTTAACGGCAAGTCTAAGACACGGAATGTTTCGACTGTCGTTTACGAACGGAAAATGTGATGAGTTTGAATCATCTTGAAATAAAAACCCTGCGATAACTGAAACTTCAGATGATGTTTAACAAGAAGATCATGAACTCGAGATTTCTACCATAGAAATAGAGGACCACTAATCTCATTGTTTTAGTATAAATCTACTAGTTGTTCAGAACTTTATCTAAATCCTCTTCACAGACCCTTCAAAAACGCGAAGAAGCGGCCGTCATTTTGTTGACAACCACACTTTTAGACTACTATGTATTTAAAACAGAGTAGATAGTGATTAGTGTAGCCAATAAAAGAACGTCATTTGTGATAGAACGCTAGTAGATTTATACTAATCAATGATAGATCTAACAAATCTTTACAACATATCGCGAAACGCGTGCGATGCAAAAGTTCCATGCGACCAAGTTCTACCTTTTAAATTTGCTCCGCCATGGAGTACTTTTCGTCGTCTGTTACTAACAACCCACACATACCACGTGCACTTTATTGTAGGGCGCCGTTTATCACTTCAAAGAGGAAGTAACTAAGCCTGCAGTGACAACCTGGGTTGAAGGCATTCTCTCTGGAAAAGAGCAACCCACGGGTTAGTGACTTGTCACCGCTCTTTACAAAGATGTTCTCCCGCCGCGTGATTACAATTAATCTATTAATACTAGAAGTGTCACCCTGGTAGAGCTCATTAGCTCACGAGAAAGCTCTTCACTGCGGGGGAATGCATAGTTCTTACTCCTTCCCCGTTCCCCCGCATTTCTTCTCTTAGTGGATAGTAGCTCTTATGTATTTAACACCCCTCCCGATAAAGCTGTTCAGTTTCCTTTTAGAAGTTGTTATTTCTAAAGACACTTGCTCTATATTGAGTTAGATTTATTTTTGACCATACTGAATAATCCTGTAACATGTTTTGACCAATCAGAACAAACTTATTGTTGTCTCGGCCAATCAGAGGTGACACTAAATGCGTCCGGCATGAATTGGGTTCGTAAATTTTCCCGCGATTTCCAGTCATTGTAAGGTTTTCCCGCGCGTAGGACCCGTTGCAAGGTTTTGCGTGAATTTTGATTGGTTAACTGTACTATTTAAGGAAGTTGTGATTGGCTTAGTGGGAAAGAAATAGTTACCAAAGTAATCAGTGCAGGAACTGGCTTCGGCAAACGTCGGTTATGTTCGTAACTTTTCGTTCGTTTTCCGTCCATAGGACTTTTCGCAGAAGGAGAATGGAAACCCCGTTTGGAGGGTTACGATTTTCTGCGAATGATAGACGAAGAAGAAGAACAAAAAGAAAGAAAGAGGCTGAAAATGCAGAAAATAGAAGCTGCTCTTAAAAGAGGTAACAACGAGGAACCGTCGTGGCCCCCACAGGAAACTGAAAAGCTGGCCGAAGAGAAGAAAACTAACCGCCCAAGACGACCGGAAGTGAAGTTTAACACGCGTGATGAACTCTAAAAAAGCAATGCTACTAAAACAGAAAAAAGATGTTTTAAATTATTTGAAGCTCGAGTTGTAGAGAACTTTATCTTACATTCAAGGAAGCATGTATCGCTCTACGGAAATCTTTGCATAAGTTCCACAGTTTTCGATTGTGAGGCTTAACTTCGAGTGCGAGTGTCAGCGGTCACACGCAAAACTTCGCTGCCTCGTGCAGTTTTCATATCCATGCATTTTTCCAAATTCTTTGAAGCGCAACGCTCAAGACAGTTGTACGAAAGTGTTGCAAAACTACACGCCAACAAACTAAACTTTCAGAGTTGACGTATTTATTTAATTCTCTTGTTGTATCAAGCGCACAGAGCTTAGGTTTAAGAAAATGTCTTAATTTTTGGCTTAGAAGTGGAAAAATTAATAAAATTTGAGTTAAACATTTACATTAAGCAGAAGATACGCATGCGCCGCGCGTGTGTAACCGCTGTGAGGACTCCATATCGCTTACGAACCGCTCACGAAAACTGAGGGCTCAGAATTTCGGCTTGAGGCGGGGGTACACATGAATTTAAGTGAAATTTTAGGAAGTTTAAAGAGGGATTAAAAGGA